ACCTAAACTGTTCAGTGATTCCATGATCAAAGCTGGAGGGAAAGACCAAGTGACTCATTAAAAATGCTGGCACTAAACAAACGCATCTTACTCAATTGTTGATACAACGCTGTGACCCTGCGTTGTTCGGCACCTGGATTCCTGCTCTGTGACTGTTCCTGCTTAAAACCACTCCAGAATTTAAATGGATGTGTATTTTCAGAGCCTCTTGGTTGCTGTTAAACACCTGGGGGGAGTGAGGTCTGCGCTGAAGTGTTCCTCTGCGTCAGAGCACAAATACGAGCCCTTTCTAGGACTGAATTCCAGAACTTGGGCTAGCATTCAGCTAAGCTGTTGAAATCATTAAATCTTCATACAGACATTGTACACTCATGGGAGAAAACCAAAAACCTGCCAAGCACTGGGAGATCCTGCAAACATCTCTGCAGCTCTGAAATGAATCAGAGAGCCACAGGGAATGACAGAATCAATTATGTTGGAAAAGACCTCTGAGATCATCAAGTCCAACCTGAGCATGTGGTGACAGGACAGGGGAATGGCTTGAAGCTGGAAGAGGGGAAATTTAGGTTGGATATTAGGAAAAAATCCTTCCCCATGAAGGTGGGGAGGCCAGAGGTACCCAGAGAAGTGGTGGCTGCCCCATCCCTGGAATGCTCAAGGCTGGGTTGGACAGGGCTTGAAACAACCTGGGGTAGTGGAAGGTGTCCCTGCCCATGGAAAGGGGGGAAAGAAATGAGGTTTAAGGTCCCTTCCAACCCAAACCAGTCTGGGATCCTTTGATTCAATCACAATTTGAAACTGGCAATTTCTACATCTCATGTTGTAGAGGAAAACATTTAACTTTTCAAACAGTTGGGGTATTTTACCCCAGTTCTTCAGACTCTGCTTTCCTCTCTTTTTCCCCTTTACCTTATGTTTGATTTCCTTTTCCATCTATTTTCATATAAAAATAGAGACACAAAAATAGAAGCAAAGAGTGGAAGAAGCAAAATGACAGAACTCCAAGGAAATTAAAACTATAAAAACTGAAGGAATGAAAAAAAAAAGGCCAAATATTTATTGCACAGTTTTATATGAGAAAAGTAGCTTCAAAAGTTACTTCCAGTTCTGAATTGGTGCTTAATTCCAAGATGTGTCTCTCCCTCTGTCAGGTCTGGACAAGCCCAAGGAATAAGTGGAATAAAAATAACCTAAAATGGCAAATCTTATTTTTGTTTGCCCATAAATCTACCAACTTGCTCAGTTGTCATTGAGTATTACCTCACAAATGTGTCCTGCTTAAAGGCCTCAGTCCATAAATTACCCCTGGGAAATGGCCATAAATTAGCAATCCATTCATTAAATAATCTTTTATTTATCTGGAACTGAATGATGAGGTGGCTGGATGGAGTAAAGGCTCACTCAGCAGCTGAGCCTGGCTTTTCTAGGCAGCTATTTTGGGTGCTCTGACTCACCTGGAGCTTCCTGTTTCACATTGGCTCTAAGAAGGGAATTAGGGAGCCTAAATTTAGAAGTCGTTGACATGAAGGGAAATGGAATGTCAGGATTGCAGGATATGGCAACTCAGGAAAAACTGACGGCTTCACTCCTGGTGTGTAGCATCCCTGAGTTCACCGGAGCAGCAGGTTCCTGCAATCCCAGGGAATGCCCAGCATGGAGAAGGCTCTGCTCCCATAAAAATGTGCAGCTCTGGGGTCTCACAACCTCCCCTGCTCCTGGAAGCACCTGAATTTCTCCTTGAGCCTGAGTTTCAGACTGCTGTGCTGTCCTTGGGGTCCACCCTTCTCCGTCCCACACTTCAAGCTCCTGGGATCAGCAGTGAAAAGAAAAAGTGGGAATTTAAACCATGGGGGGGTTCCAGGTCTGGCTGCACAATGTGCTCTTCTAAAACATTTTTTTCCAACACCCTGTAACCTCACATTCCTTGAAACAGAGAAAATTAAAATCATTAAAATCTGAGGCTGGAGGAGGTTTTGAGGTCACTACCTGCTGCTCCTGCTGCCTCAAGTGTTGTTCATCAGAATTCACATTTATTTCAGTCATTCTCCCTCCAGAACCTGCCTTTGCTCTGAGGTTTTCTCTTGCTGCTCACACCAAACACAAGTTGTGTCACTTCCACTTTTTAAAAACCCGCTGTAAGGTCCCAAGCATAAAAGTTTCTTACTTATTTTGTTTTTAGGTTGGTTATTTGTGTTGAGTAGTCCCTTTCTTACTTTATCTTCAGGACTGGGTGCTTGAAAACAGTGGAGCTGCTTTGAATTTTTCTATCTAGTAACATTATGATTAATAATAATTATTATTTAAGAGCATGAGCAATTAGCGAAGGATTTTGCAGAGTGCTGCTTGCTCTCCCAAGGGATTTTTGTGGCTCAGAGCAGTGCAGAGTTCCTGCACAGAGGGTCAGAAGGGCCCTATTGATCCAGGTGGGATCTTTAAATAGGGACTGCTGTGCATTTAGGGGTTGCCAAGAGCCCCTGGTTGGCCCTTGGCACAGGAAGGGATTTCTCTCTAAGTGACTGTGGTGTTTTCTCCTCGTGCTGAACAAAAACTGAAACAAACCCAGAAGTGAATGCGAAAGTCCCTCTGTGAATAATGAACCGGTGTCAGATAGGCCACGGCCTAATTTTCAGAGCTGAGTTTTGAGGAGTTTGGATTTGGGCCAATTTCATGGGAGGTGTCATCGAGCCTTGTGAAATCTGATTGCTCTCGTGGTTTCAAAGTCTTCACGTCTCTGGCACAGCTCAGATCCAGCTCTGTGATCTCTGATATTAAACCTGATCAGATTTTGGGCTGCTGCCCCCGGGTGAGCTGCGATGGAAATGTGTTACATCAGCTTGACTGCTATTGAAACCCCTGCTAAAAATTTCTACAGCAATTAACAACAGACAGAATTAAGCCAATAATAGGCTTTTTTCTCCCCTATCAACCAAGATTATGGATAAATCCTACAGATACCCCATGGCCAAGCAGATATCAGAGTGCAGCTTTATCAGTGATGGGGGAAGGCCCAAACCCCTTGGCAGAGCAGAGCTGTGGGATTGTTGTTGCTCCCTGTGTCTGGTGGAGTTTGCAATCACACACAGGCACAGAAAACCCCACATTTCCCCATCTGAGGACCAGGGGAGGAATTGGCACAATTTCTCCACTACTTTGATGCCTTAGGGTTTTAGCTTTTATATTTTCCATATATTTGCAATCCTGCAGTTCTTCAGTGTGTAACTCCAAACTCCACACACACTGGGAGCTGCTGCTTCCCCACTTTGGGCAGACACAGCAATTCCTCTCCAGGCCTGGCAACCAAGGACACCTCAGTGCCTCAGGCCCCAGAGATGGAAACAGAAGGGACTTGGGGGCAGCAAACTTGGGGGAAATGACTTCATTCCCTGCAGCTGGAATTGGGGGATGAACCCCAATGTGCAAATGGACCAAACTTATAAAAGTGTGAAACCTGTGAGCCATGGCCCATTTTTGGGCCCTGGGGGGGGCTTTGATTGCCCAAAATGTCCCTGAAGGCCCCTCAATAAATTGAACTGCTCTTTATTCCCTGAGCTGCTGGATAGACACATCCTTGTGGGAAGGAACAGCCTCGATATTTTTTTTAAATACAGGTTTGTTGTCAAAATGACCTGCTTCAAAAAACTTAGGGGGAATAAAAAATAAAAGAAGGAAAAGGGATGAAAGAATGAAGTGAATTGGAGTCTGCCTGGCTCAGGGTCTTGCTTCAGTGAAAGGTATTTAATATTTTTGTATCTGGTGGGGAAATTGTCCACTATTAATGGGCTTTCTTTCTGGCTATAATTTATTCTTATTTCTCAGAGGCAATGGGGTAGAGGCCAGGTTTCTTTATCCAGAGGTATTAAAATGCCTGGGGCTGAGCAGCTTAGCATTGCTTTGTCAGGATTTTCTCCATCTGGCAAAATAATAGAATAAAATCACCCTGTGCAGGGAGAGCTGCTTTATTTTTAAAATAATGCCCTTTCTCCTTGAATTCAAAGCCTCGAGGGAGAGGAGGAGTGGTGGGATCTGTGAGGAGATGAATATTTTCATTCACTGACTGCTTCTATGTTCAGGAGCTGTGATCCCTCACTGCCAGGCTTGCTTTAACGTCTCTGGAAACTGGTTGTGTGTATCAAAGTGGAGGCAAATAGAAATTAAAATCCCTTTTCAGAGACGTGAGGGATTTATAAGGCCCAGAGGGGTGAAAAGACCCCAGAGGAAGTTCCAAAGTCATAGGCAGGGTCAGCTGACTCTTATAAAAATGAATTCCTCTTTGCTAAGGGAAAAAGAAAGAAGAGAAAACTAAATCCATGCTTTTTTGTTTTTTTTTTCCTTTTTGATTTAGTTTTCTTTTATTTTTTTCCCCCTGAGTCATTGACAGCAAAAGGAATTTTTGTTTACATCAATGTTCATCAAAACAGAAAGTGGGTATCTCTAGAAGTGAATCATATCAATTGTTCCTGACCTTTGGGAAGTGTCTGGTGTCATTTGAAGTCACCTGGTGGACGAGACAAAACCTCATTGAAATGCACCATCAGTTTCTGGTGATGTAAAACAAGAAACAAATTGCTGCTCTGAGGAATATTTGGAGTGTGCTCACACCAACTGAGCTTCATCAGTCAGCAGCAGGCACTGAGCTTGGATGATAAACCACCAGGTTTCTGGAGCCAGAAACTCAATCTATGACTAAATGTTTGCTGTGGAGAGTTTGCCAAGCTCCAGTCATAGAAAAATGTCAGTTGTGCAAGGGGAAAAACTCCAATAATGGTGAGAAAAGGCCTTCCTGGGATCCCAGAGATGAGGGGAAAAGGGGAAGGGCTGAACTGGTACCAGCTTTGGCAACATCTTGGTCCCTTCCCTCCCCACACTGTAAGAATGAAATTGCAAATAAATGTTTGGATTACTGCAATTCATGGAATAAGAAGATTTGAGATTGTTCTTCTATCCTGCATTCTCTGAACATTCCAGGCAGCCAGAGAAGCTCAAATACCACCCATTCAAACATCTCAGCTCTCTGCTGAGGGCCAGTCTGAAACTGTCTTTGGGAAAGTCTGGATCAAACTCCGGACTTTGGGGAAGTCTGGAGCCCTGGTTTTCCAGGAAGTGTTGGTGTTGGAAGAGGATTCCCAGCCTGGTGTGGTCTGTGCCAGACTGGCAGGGCGGCACTCGAGGAAATGAACTTTGCTATTTGCCAAACTGGCAACTCCATTGTTGTTTTAATATTTAATGTGGAAAGGTCTGAGAACCCCAGGGGAGAACAGAGGCTGAACACTCTGCTTAGGCAAAGTCTCTGTCCCAAAGAGATTTATATTTAAATAGGAAAGATGGATAAATAGTGACAAGGAAGACACCTGAAGGAAATGGCATAAAGTCCATGGCAGAATGCAGCACAGAAATATCCGGTAAATCCCATATCTCCTGTGTCCTGCCCCAAAGTTTAGCTACCAGCCTGAGAGCCAATAATTTCATCATTTTTGCTGTTGTACCATGAATCTATTCCAGAGATGTCACCGTGTGCCTGTGGTAAAGAAGGGCCTTGACTACAAGCTTTGACTGTTGGGTTTTTGGAAAGACCAGGTTAAAGCACTACTCCATAAAATAAACAGATTTCCCCATGTCCAGAGCACAGGTGCTGTGCCAGCAGTTTATGACCCTAAAAATCTCCGTATTGTGGAGTCTTCCCATGATCTGCCTGAGGTTTAATCTGTGTTTGCACAGATTATTTCGAGGATCCTCGGTGGGTCTGTGGGTTGTGTGCTGGAGAGTCCAACCATCCCACCCGAAGCCAAGCCAGGGAAGCTGGCAGGCGTAGCTCTTGAAGTGTTTTTTTTTCTGGGACACTCACAAAGTTCCTTGTTCACCCTAGGGATGAGGTGAGGTGGGAAATTTAAACCAGGCTGGTGGTTTAAAGCAGGCTAGTGGTGTTCAGAGAAAAAGTCTGGGTGGCAGTGGGAGCTCAGGGAGCTGCTCACATTCCATCGCTGTACCTCAAGACCCCAAGAACGTTTTCGTTGGGAAGGGAAACGTCATTCAGGAATTCGGGACGGTTCAGTGTTACTGATATTCGGTCCTCCACTTTCAGATGTGTCAAGTGGAGCTGGAGCAAGGTTTTAAAAGTCTTGTCTTGGCACGTTTCTGACGTGCACAGTGTGGACAACGTCTGCCTGTCCACCCTGCCGTTCACCAGGAGCTCGATCTTGAGGTCAATGGGGCTCTTGGAGCAGTTGGGGAAGTGAAAGTTCAAGTGGCAGAAGATCAAGTAGAGGCCTTGTTCCGTGACCACCAGCTCCTGGCCGTTACACTGGATGTTCTCACAGATCCCCTTCTCCACCAGGCTCAGCTTGGAGCTGTTCACTGCGCTGGACACTGGAAGGAAAGCAAAGGGCTGTTAGCTCCCAGCTCCACTGACCTCTCTTCAGCCCTAGGACACTTCCAGCAGGGATTCCTGCTAAAAGGACACACCTGCTCAGTGGTTTCCTGCAGGAAACTTCAGGAAAACTCCTGGAAAGACAGCTGGGAGCTCACACATGGATGTGAGACACTAAGAATTCCAAGGATTTAGCCAGGACAGAGAAACGCATGAATGTTCATCTCCGTTATTTTCCCACTTGGCATTTGAAGGGAATCCAGAGATGTACATTCATGTACTTTCCATATTCATGGAGATTGTACAATTCATGGAGATGTACATTCCTCTCCGTGTGTGCAGAAGACAAATCTTTATTTCCTTTTATTTTTATCAAGTTAAAAAAAAGGTTTCTAGGATCAGACAGGGTTTTGCCAGCCACGTTCCAGGAGAGCTAAGGAATTTTTTTTCCTATAAAATGCCCATTTGGACAAAAAACATTATTTGCCATTAAACCCAGTGTGATTGTCATGGGCAGATTTTCAGACAAGCTCTGAAATTTCCCTTTCCCAACCCTTTTCCCCCACCCTGGACTCCCCACTGACCTCTCATGTAGGCAGCAGCTCCCTTGGCTGGGACACTCCGTAGGATCCTCAAATAGTCTTCAAAGGTATTCCCTGAAGAAAACAACAAATTAACTCATTGCTCCTGAGCTTTTTAATTTTTTTTTGCTTTTTTTTTTAATTGTAAAATGCAGTCAGCACTTGGTCCCACATTTCCAGAATGGTTCTTACTCCTTGGCTGAGGATTTCTGACCTGCCCAGGGAATTCAGAACAGTGTCACTCAACTGGTAAATCTATAACAACCTAAAGCTCCAGCAGATTGCAGCTCTCAGCCGTGAAATTCCTTACCCTGTTCCTTAAAAATAGGAGTGATGGTTTTAAATTTAAGGAGGGTGTGTTTGGAATAGATACAAGGAGAAATTACAGTGCGGGTGGGGAGGCTCTGGTCCCCAGAGCAGCTGTGGCTGCCCCTGGATCCCTGGCAGTGCCCAAGGCCAGGCTGGACAGGGCTGGGAGCAGCCTGGGATGGTGGGAGGTGTCCCAGCCCATGGCAGGGGTGGAACAAATTGAGCTTTAAGGTTCTTTCCAACCCAAACCAGTCTGGGTTTCTCTGATTCTATGAAACAGAAATCATGTGCAGGTAAGCTTAATTTAACCGAGTTATTTTTGTGGTGCAACTACAGAAAGCATTTAAACATTTAATCGGGACATAGTCCTGAAAATGGCTCTTTGGGTGCTTTTGGAATGTTGCTTCATGATCCCTTGGGAACTGCTCCATCCCACGGGAATGCTCCATCCCTCGGGAATGCTCCATCCCTCAGAAACTGCTCCGTCCCACGGGAATGCTCCATCCCTCGGGAATGCTCCATCATGGGGCTTGGAGCAGCTGCTCCATCCCACGCAACGCGGGATCTGTTCCCTCCCACGGGATGCGGGGATTGTTCCCTCCCACTATCTCGGGGACTGCTCCATCCCACGGCCACGGGATTTGTTCCATCCCACGGCCACGGGAATTGTTCCATCCACGGCCACGGGAATTGTTCCATCCACGGCCGCGGGAATTGTTCCATCCACGGCCGCGGGAATTGTTCCATCCACGGCCACGGGAATTGTTCCATCCACGGCCACGGGAATTGTTCCATCCACGGCCGCGGGGACGGCTCCATCCCACGGCCGTGCCCGGCACTGCAGCGGCCGCAGCGCACGGAGGAGCCGAGTCCCGTTCCCTGCATCCCTGCCCCGCATCCCGGTGTGTGGTCCAGTTCCTGCATCCCAGACCCTGGTCCCCCACTTCTCCCCCTTGCATTTCCGTCCATATTCCTGCCTTCCATCTCCTCTCTGTAAGTTTTTCCTCCTCTCACCATACTGGATGTTCAGTTAATGGCACTAATTATCCATTCCTGGCAGTGCCCAAGGCCAGGCTGGATGGGGCTTGGAGCAGCCTGGGATGGTGGAAGGAGTCCCTGCACATGGCAGGGGGTTGGAATGAGATGAGATTTAAGGTCCTTTACAACCCAAACCGTTGTAGGATTCAGTCAATGATTCTGTGATTATTCTGTCTCTATTCTGTGTGACACAGAATTGTCCCCTCGGTCCATGGGTGGATGGACACACAGGCAAGGGATGGATTCAGGAAAACAGAGCATATCCCAGTGCTGCAACCTGACAGGAGAATGGTTATTTCTCCTTACATTTGCTCTCTTTTCCATCTCTTGGCCCTGCTGTGGCTGTGGGAGTGCACAGGAGCTCAGATGGCAAATTGGGAATTTTCTGTGCTTCATTCCACAGCTGAACACCGAGAATAAAGCAGGAAGGAGTTTGAGTAAAGCCTTAGCAAATTATTCTCCCTCTCCCAGGGTACACAAAACTCCAAAGTTTTCCTGTGACTCAGTTTATAAAACTGATATCACAATCCCCAACCCTACAAGGGACTCTGAAGGACGAGTTAATGCACAAAATTAAATCCTACTGAAACAGCATCAGATGTTGTGTGTCATGATCCTCACATGTCCCACTCTGCTCTGTGCTGGTGTGGACTCACCTCAGGTCCAGGGGGAAGTTTTAAGAGTCACAATAAAGGAAGATCTAAAGGTGTGAGAGTGTCCAAAGGAGGGACACGAGGATGGGGAAGGGGCTGGAGGGGCCCATGAGGAGCAGCTGAGGGCACTGGGATTGTTCAGCTGGAGCAGACTGAGGGCAGAGCTCCCCGGGGGCTGCAGCTCCTCCCGAGGGGCAGCTCCGCTCTCTGCTCTGGGACAGGGACAGCAGGCAGGGAACAGCTGGAGCTGGGCCAGGGCCTCAGGGTATTTTGTGATTCCTTGATTCCAAATAAAACTCTATTTATATGCAGAGTGGGATAAGGATCTTAATTTTCACAGGATTCCTGAAATGGGGCTAATGATAAGAGATTCGAATCTCCAGACCCTTGCTGTATCTACATGACCTGATTTCTAAGGGAGTTTTGATAATGAGGGTGGAAAAATCAGGGAGAAGCTGGTCCCACACCCAAGTTCCCTTGGCTGGAGGGGGTTGGTGAGGTGTGTATTGCTCCCTGTTGGAGACAGGAACTGTGGATATCTTGAAAAAAATGTGACATTTCTCTGATTTCAGTAGTTTAAAGACTTTTGTGGTGAGCAGGAGCTCACTGCTCTCCAAGAATGAGTAAGTCATGTACCAAAGTCCCTTCACCATTCTGGAAATCCCCAAAGAAAAACCAAAGACTGCTTTCCCTGTGTTAGTCAGGTCAATCTAGTGTTTTGGTGAGGGCACAGGCACTGCAGAGATGTGGAGATGTGGCACAGGGTGGGTGAAAGCCCTTCTGGCCCTTATTTCACCTAAAGCTCTCATGGTGATAACAAGGTAACACAATCAGCACCCTGAGCCCACTCACACTCAAACTCTGTGAGTTTTCTACAGAAACTCGGTGCATTTAGGGGGTTTACCCTCCAAAGGCTGAAAATCCCCTGCTGCACAAGCAGCCTTTGGAGGCTGCAGCCCTGCAAGCTCAAGCCAAGTGCTGAACCTACCCAGAAACTGCCCAGAGCTGCTCAGGGTGTCCTTGGCATCTCTAAAGATCTGCCCCCACTGACCTGCCTGCACTTTGCATTTCCACAGCTGTATTTAAGGTTTATTGGTGTCAGCAAGTTTGGTGTGCCTGTGTTTAAATTCGGTGACATCAGCTGCATTAGTCAGAAGGGAAATTATGGGAAAAAAAATTGTTTCAGAGAGACAGGTCTGGTCCTCACTCTGCTGAGGCAGCTTGTTACTGTTTCCTACTTTTATTTCTCAAGTGAATTCTTTTCTCTGAAACATTTCAGCTCAAAGACAAGAGAGGCTGAAATTACCAGGGCTTCAGGACTGATCGATGGATGTGCTCACATGGCCTAATGGGCTTTGCACGAGTCATGGTGTAAATCAGAGGTAATCCCTCTGCAGTCAATGGGATTAGAGGAGCTTAAAAACACTGTGAGGAGGAGGAAAGACAAAGCTACATTTGGGGCTAAGGACCAAGGAGGCCACACGAGTTTCAGTGTGTGCTGTGAGGCACAGGCACTGCAGATCTGCTTCAAGGAAAGCTGCTGGGGAGGGAGGGGTCTCTGGGGAAGTCCCCAAAGAAGATATCAGATCACTTATTTTTGTCTTTTTGAATCAATTTGCCATCTTGGACACCTCCAGGGATGAGCACTCTGAACCTCCCTGGGCAGTTCCAAGGCCTGGCCACCCTTTCCATGGGGAAATTCCTGCTGCTGTCCCCCCTGAGCCTCCCCTGGCCCAGCCTGACCCGTTCCCTCTCCTCCTGTCCCTGTTCCCTGGGAGTGTCCCCTCCTGCCAGGGACTTGTGCAGAGCCAGAAATTCCCCCTGAGCCTCCTTTTCTCCAGGCTGAGCCCCTTTCCCAGCTCCCTCAGGGATTCTCCAGCCCCTTTCCATCCCCCTCATCATGTTGGGATCAGATTTAATTGCAGAAGGCCAAACTGCCCCCTGAGATTTTGCTGCAAATCTGAAAAGGCTCCTTGGCTTCAGCCTGATTTTCTCCACAGTAGCAGGTTAGTGACTGTCACCTGTATGATATTAATTTCTCAGAGCCAGGTTTTTATTTATGAACCTATATATTGAAACTGAGAGTTTGGTGCTAGATTTCTTTTCCTGGTCTGTGCAGTGCCAGAGCAAAATACCTATAAATAGTGTGTGTGTGTTCATTTGTATCTGCAGGTTTTTTTGTTTTTTCCCTCTTGTAAATGAGATTTTGATTCCAAATCTTTGCAGCTCAAATAACAAGAAAAGCCATCAGCCCAGGATTACACAATTCCTAGTGAAATGAGGCTCGGAGAGACCAGCAAGCAGATGATGAGGGCTGTACCTTTCCAGGTCATCAATTTGTCTGTGAGTTCATTTTCCCTCTAAAAAATGAACATAACAATACCCCTCAGATCCACACTAATACATGACTTGTTATTTGTGAAATGGGCATGAGTTTCTGCAGAGAAATGCTTCCACAGAAAGAACATTTCACAAACTCTTAGTTGGTGATGGATTTAATTCCTTCCCTGTTGCTCAGGTCCTGCACTGACAGTGGCATGGAGGATTTGAGGAGAATGATCCCATTTTTCGCACAATTTAATGAGCTGACATTGCATCACCCTCAGCCTGTGCCTGTGGATTCCTGCAACCCATCCATTGGGGCGTGACAGCTGAGTCAGGGCTGGAAACGTCCCATAAATCTGCTTTAGTGCCCACTGGTGTTTAGCTAACAATAGAACATAATCTCACTGGAGATTTAAATTAAATCATTGTGTTTCCCTGCTTTAATAAGGCACAATTAATTCAGTGTTGTGGCTGGGTCTGGGCTGCTGCCCTTGGCATCTCAGTGAAAGCTGAGACCTCAGCTGGATGCAGCAGAGAATTGTTGTGTCACAGGATCATGGAATGGTTTGGATTGGTAGGGACCTTAAAACTCATCCAGGGGCAGGGACACCTTCCACTATCCCAGGTTGCTCCAAGCCCTGTCCACCCTGGCCTTGGTGTCCCCCAGAGCATCCCTGAGCTGCTGGCACAGGGCTGGAGCCAGGCTGAGCACCCAGCAGCCAGCTGGGCAATGCTGGTTTTCCCTTCCCTTGCCCATTTTAACAACACAGGAGCCCTGGCTCATGGTACAAACCACACCAAATTTCCACCTGGGCTCCCTGGCAGACAAAAATGGATCCAAATCTAACTCCACAGCAGCCTCTTCCTGAATGTTTCTCCTGCTCCTGTCTCCGGGTGGGACCTGGAGTTGCCACAAGTCCCTGCTGGCAGAGCTCTCTGACAGGGGCCCTCAGTAAATTACCCACTGGGTATATTAATTAATAAGCTCTGGCCTGGCCCAGCTCCAGCCGTTCCCTGCCTGCTGTCCCTGTCCCAGAGCAGAGAGCGGAGCTGCCCCTCGGGAGGAGCTGCAGCCCCCGGGGAGCTCTGCCCTCAGTCTGCTCCAGCTGAACAATCCCAGTGCCCTCCGATCTCCCATTCTGCTCTAGATGAGCACGGGGCTCCAATTCCCCACTGTGGTGGGAGTTACTGGCACCTCCTTCCCTCTGGGATGGGGCAGGAACTTGCATTTGCAAGGAGTTAAATTTTGGTGCTGGGAGCCGCGTGAGGCAGTGCCAGTGACGTGACTGATGCTCCTGAGTTACGCTGGGGCACAGCACAATCTCAGTAAATTCTCTGTTAGACAAATTTTCTTATTTCAGGCTCCCTGTGCTCACACTCTGCCTGTTTCAATTCCTTGCTCAGTGTCTTTTGCTGCTCTTCTTCCCTTGTCCCTTCTCGACCCACCCATTCCTTTCTTCCTTTTCCCCTCAAACCAGGAGTTCTTTTGGGATATGTGGAACACATTTTCACCCTCCCTCGTAAAGAGGACGACTTTGCACACATTTGCAAGAGCCAGTGCTTAAAATAAGACCTTAAAATCAATGTTCACATCTCCTGGCAAAAAGCTCTTTTGAACAGACACCCCAGGGCACATTCTGAAATATTTGTTATTTTTTTCAGCCATGCACTGGATCGTGGATGTACTGAGTAATTTGAAAGCCTTTTTCTTTTTTTCATTTTTTTTTTCACCACTACTTTGGCTCTTCACCAAGAGGAGCCTTTATTGGAAATGTTAGGATGTGCACAATTGGCTTATTTGTGACCCTGGGCAATATTTGTATTACAGATATAACAAATTGCCTGTATTGTTTAGAGGTCTTACCTGTCCTGATGGGTTTTTTGATGCCCTCCATGGCAGGATCAGCTACCTGAAAGAGAAAAATGAGAAGAGTTGGATTATTCTGCGAATAGGAAACACCCATTTCGTGTGCAACTGTGGATCTGAAACATTTCTGTTTTTTTCTAACAGAGAAAACAGACATTTCTGACACAGTAAGAAAATGATGTGGGTTCTGTTCTGAAGCACAAGTTGTAAAAGTCTCTCTCTGTGGCTTTCAAGGCTTGGAGAGAGTAGAACAGAGTAGGACTGGACAACCTGGAGAGCCAAGTGCTTGGGAAAGATCACTGAAGCTGTAGAGCCCCAAACAGGTCTGAGCACGACAGTGATGTCCTGCCTCACCTCTCCTACTTCTTGCTGAAATAAAACCAAGGATGAAAATGGCACAGGAAACTGCCCTCAATCAGCATGACATGAGAAATCCCAGCTCCAGGGGTGAAATGCAGCAGGACTCCTCTGGTGACACCTTTCTGTCACCCAAACCATTCCCCAGAGTCCCTGGCAGCTCATAAATGTCCCTCAAGGAGCAAAATGTTCTCCCAGCAGCTGAGGAGAGCACTGGGAGCTCCCTTCAGTCTCACTCTGGGTGATGCCACAGGGATTTCAGGGACTGGGTTTTGCTCAGGCTGGGCTGAACCAGCTCCTCTTCCATGGGTGCAATTCACCTGGGCTAATTGTGCAGGCTAATCAGGTGCTGGGCAGCAGGAGAGCAGGGACCCAGAGATGTCATTTGAAAAAATATAGATATTTCCAAGCTTTTTGTCCCTGACACAACATCCTCCCTTGGGAACTCTCATGGATCTCATCACAGATCACCAAATGTTAAACTGAGCAGGGTTGGAACTGAAAATACCCCCAGGAATCTCTGCCAGGACCTCTCAACTCCTTCCTTTGTCCTGCCCTGGGCTGCTGTCTCACGCACACTCAGGAAAATGTCGCTGTTCAGAGAAATATCTGAACATTCCTGCTCTCTGTGGAGAATTCAGGACATTTTAGGTGACAGAAAAAGGATGCTCTGCCCCCAATGAGATCGCACTCAATGAAATCAGGCAGCCAGGGAGGTGTTTGCCTTGCTGGGGGCTCAGAGCCTGCTCTGCACTCAGGGCATAAAAACAAAATTAAAATGGACTAAAGGCATTGTGTTCTCACCTGGGAAGGCTCCCAGCAAGCAAAACCAGCACACACCAAAGCAATTTATTTTAGTGACAATTGAGTAGATACTGAAATAAACCTTTAGGACTTCCTTTGAAATATTACTGGTATTATTTCTTTCTTTTCCAGCAGCAAGAATATCTCATGTAATGCTGTCATTTGGAATGCAAAGAGGCACACAGGAGGAGCCCAAAGAGATTAAATTCTACAGTGCCAGCCCAGAAAAAATTCAAGACAACAAATTCTACCCTGTCTGGAGTGATCTGAGGGCTGGTGATGAAAGAGCTCAGTCTTTACACAGCAAGCAGAATAATTTGAGTTTGCTGTATTAGAGAAAATTATAATCAGGTGCCAGTGAAAGGGATTTATTTCTTAATTCTCTTAGTCATTTTACAATCCCTGGAAGTGCCCAAGGCCAGGCTGGACGGGGTTTGGAGCAGCCTGGGATAGTGGGAGGGGACCCAGCCCATGCCAGGGGTGGCACTGGATTAGTTTTAAGGTCCCTCCCACCCCAAACCAGTCTGGTATTCTGTGAAATCTTTATCTGCCTCTAGAAAGTCCAAGGCAATTCCCCCAAACCACAGTCCCCATAAGGGGCTCAGGGTAACTGGGGCAGGGCCCTCTCTCCAAGAGCATCTCCACATGGCAGCCCATGGGGAAGAGCTCTTTGGTCCCCTGCCCTCAAAGGAAATTCTTCAATCAAAACAAAGCCCCAGGGCTCTCCTGGGTCTCTTCTCAGCCTCAAAGCACTGTGATTTCAGCAGGAATTTCCCCATGGAAAGGGCGCTCAGGCCTTGGAACTGCCCAGGGAGGTTCAGAGTCCCCATCCCTGGAGGTGCCCAAGGAAGGCAAAGGTGGCACTCAGAGCTCTGGGCTGGGGACAAGGTGAGGACCAGGCACAGGCTGGATCTGATGATCTTGGGGGTCTTTTCCAGCCTCAGTGATCCTGGGATTTATTCTGTGCCCCAGCTCTGGCTGGGGAAGGAGGTGGGGGCAGCTCCTCCTGAGGCACCAAGGGGTGAAGGCCGAAGCTGGACATGAAAAGTGCAGAGAGCAGAGCACTGTCCCCACGGCTCACAGGATAATGAGCCTCACAGGAATCACAGCCCAGGGTGAAAATCGGGTTTTTCCTGTGCTGACCAATGTCGTTGAAGTGGTTAAAGTCACTTCCAGCCAGCAGGTGACTGTCACTGCACAGAACAGGCACAGCAAGAGCTGGGCCAGGGCAGTTTTCTCCTGAAATGCCTCAGAGGATTTCTTGCAGTGCTCAGCGAGTGGGAAATCTGATTTTAGAGGAATTTTCAGTATTTGAATTTATTTTTATTTTTTAAATTTTGTTTTATTTCCCTGTCGTCAGGGTTGCCACAAGAGGGGGCCAGCAGGCCCCGAGTGGGCCCTTGGGGCTGAAATGAGTTTTAAGGAGACATAAAACCCCCATAAATAGTGCAGGATCGTGCTGGGTGCTGCATGAGTCATTCACAAACCTACTGCTAAAGGTTCTTAACAGCCTTGAAGAGCGGCTCAGCAAACAGAAAAACCTGCTCTGACCTTTAGTATTTACCACACTGGTGAAAAAAAAGGTTTTCCTACACAATTTAGAGGTTCAGTATATGAAGTCTACAAAATCCAGAGCAGTGATGGACTAACCCAGATCATGGACTCTGGACATTCACACAGAATTTGTTCATGGGAGGCCCAGGTGTCTGATGAACCTTCCTGTACAGCACCAGACTTGTGAGGGTCTGTGTGCCTTAAAATGACATTTTCCAGCCCTTCCTGTCCCATTCTCTGCCCCTGGTTTCACATCTCTCTCTCAGTACTCACAGATATCTCCAGAGGTGTGTGTATACACATATATCCAGCAGGGAATGCAGCAGGCAGAAGGGTGGAGGGTTTAACACACTTCTAAACAGTGTTAAGAAGAAAAATGATGGCTCCAGACCACCTTACAGAGACTATTCCCATTCCAGAGGAAAATTGAGTCACTTGTGAAAGATCAACAATGGCCTGAAGCCAAGTGGTTCAGCAGATGAAAGCTGAAGAAATGAACTGACTTCAGCACTGCAAATAGCTCCAAAAAAACAGAGTTTAGCTCTAAAATTGACTCTTCCCAGATGTGACACTAACATGCTGTGCCACCCTTCTTAAAAACAAGGTGTAAAGGAAATTTCTTGGGGTTCTGGAAAGTGGGGAGGTGTGATAATGTCTGCTAGAGGTGCTGTAGGATTCAGAGAAGCAGCTTTGAATCATAGTTGCCTTTTTCATCCGGTCTTTCATGTTGTGTTTCCCTTCTTTGGAGCACCCAGATTGTGGGGGTTGCAGGTGCCTGGTTTCTGCAGAGTTTGATTTTCCTTTTCTAGCCTGTCTTCCTTCAACTTAAATTAGGCAATTATGAATTTATCAAAAGGCAGCCTGTGATGGGGGCAGGGACAGTGTGATCTTGTCACACCACGAGCCTCTTAATGCTGTGGCACCCAAGGGTCCAACCTTGTCCCTGTGAGCCTCAAACCCCTCTTGGAACAGAGGGAAAGGAAAGCTTCTCTCTCAGCTCAGCGTGAGGAGGGTGTGAAGTCACCCCTGAAGTCAGGGACTAATCACACAAAGCAGCTGAAAACATCTTCAAGGAAGAACTGATTGTCCCAAGGAGATGATCACATAAAATATTTGGTCCTTTTGTCACAGTTATAAAGAAAATAATGAAGTCAGCTGGTGATGCTCTGGTCCCTACAGCAACTCAGTATCCACAGGGCTGCAGGGATTCCCCAGCCCCTCCTGGCAGTCTGTGCTGGGGATGCTCAGCCCAGCCACAGCCGATTCCCAAAGGATTCTGTGCCCAGCCTCGCTCTGACAGTGCAGCCAAGAGCTCCAAGCCTGGAGTTCCCTGTGGAACCTGTCCCACAGAACCAGCCCTTGCTCTGTGCTCTGGGAGTTCAGGACCTGACTCTGTTCAGGGAGTTCAGGTGGGGGGAGACTGTTCTGCTCCTGAACTCCCTGAGAGCCAAACACAATCTGTGTTTTGCTGCCAAATTCTCCTCAGAGCGTAAAATTGCTGCTTGATTTTATTTGTTCCTCACACCCCTCAGGTTCGCATTTCCTCCTTCAGCCAAGCTCGTTTTCAAAGCAGCTGCAATGGTGTCATTACTCTTTTAAGTCAAAACCTTGGCTCTTTCAGCAATCTTGTTCCTCTGGCAACTCCTGTAACTGCTTTATCCTGATGGAGAGGTGATTTAATGCTTGCTTCCATAATCAGTACAAATGAAAGCCTCATTATAAAGCAAAGCTGTGGCAAGTCTGTAATTACCTAGACTGTTCTTTTAAAGATCTCCCCTGATATCCCACTATTTCTCACTTAAAAAGCCCCATGCCTCAAGTTAACTGTCCTCAAAGTGCTTCTCTTTTGGGAGAACACTGATTACAGGTAAATGATTCCTCTCTTGAAGGAGTATCAGTCAAGCCTTCCCGGTTTAATTTCTGGTAATGTGCATACACAGGCACACAAATTGCACAGGGGAAATTTAGCAAGAGAAAATATTGAGTCAAAGGATCATATTTTTGTTTTGGCCAGCTCCTGCACAGTATGCTCCATCCCTATGAACAGTAGTGGGGGAACCTCAGCACTTTGATTTTTGCAATAAGATTTCAGAGACTATAAAACCTCTAACCTGGCATTTTACCTGGGTAAAGTTGATGGAAATGCCCCTACAAGGTCAGAAATTCACTTTTTATCCTCACAACCATCTCTGCTCTGGCTGTCACTGGTTCTCCATCAACTCCAGATCCATTCGAGATCAGTCTTTTATTTTAAGAAGTTAAAGTGACTGTTGGAAGAGGGAAAAGTTGTTTGTGTGTGACCTTGTGCCACTGATACCCTTTCTACAACTCTGTTTGTGCATTAAAAATCACACCCAAGGCAGGATTGAGGGGACAGGGGGCATGAGGGAGTTCTTTGGCCCACAGAACTGCTCTGGGTGCTTCAGGACAGCTCTGCCTCCCCACATGGGCAGGCAGCACCACAGAGCTGTGCCATGTCCCCTGCTGCCATCCATGTCAGAGGAGCAGAGCACAGCAAACCCTCTCAAACACTGATTGCTCTCCAAAGAACCAACAGGAGACACTCAGCACACCAGGAGGGACAGAGCCTGCTTGGCACCTTGGATCAGGAGCCTTCGCTTTCCATTTACAGAGTAAATATCCCAATTGCAGAGTACAATTCCAATTACAGAGTAGGAAAGTGCCAAGAATAAATGCTGTCTGTGGAGAAAGGTCCTCTTTTTCTGAAGTTCTTTCATCTGAGTTTCATCTTTCCCCTATTTCAGGTGTGTGTGCATTTGTAACAGAGGTAGGAAATGTTCTTCTTCACAGAATGAAAAAGGGAAGGGAAAAGGAAGGGAGAAGAGAAGAGAGGAGAAGGGAGGAGAAGGGAGAAGAGAGAAGAGAAGAGAAGAGAAGAGAAGAGAAGAGAAGAGAAGAGAAGAGAAGAGAAGAGAAGAGAAGAGAAGAGAAGAGAAGAGAAGAGAAGAGAAGAGAAGAGAAGAGAAGAGAAGAGAAGAGATCAATCTCTTACCGTCCTCTGGACGACCAGGACCATGATGGTGGCCAAGGCAAAGACGAGCAATGTGCCCATGGTGGCGATGATGAAATACAAACAGACTTTGTTAGTGGCTCCAAGCCTCCTGGAAACAGCGTCTTCATTCACATTCATGGCTGATTCATGAGAGTCCTTCACCTGAGAAAGTGTTTGCTCTTGCGCCTGGCACATTCTTATATAGCCCTCCAGGCACTGCTCTGTGGCTACCCTCGGTCGGGTTCAAGTTGCAGCCCATCTCTGCTCCTGGCAGGATTTTCCCCCTTCATCCTGGCTCATGTGATCTGGAAAAAACAACTTCATCACTTGCTGTGCAGAGAGAGAGGGCCCCGGGGGCGTGGGGCAGGAGGCAGCTGTGAGCAGGGGAAGGAGCTTCATGTTCTCGCTCAGGGATTTCTCTCGAGGTGCTGCTCTGCAGCCGAGGTTTCTGATGTCACAAGGTGAACAGATCCCCCGCCCAGCCACCGGCTCTGTGAGATGGAGAGACATGCAAATTCCCTTTCATTTTATACTCGGTGCAGCTGCAGCTGGGCTCAGGGAGTCACCCCGAGCTCTGCCTTCCTGTCGTGCCCTGAAACCTCCAGAGCTGCCTCCAGAGCTCTGCATCCACAGGTGACCTTTGGGCAGCCCCTCCGTGCCCTGGGGTGCCCCAAGCACAGCATCACCAGCCAGGGGAGGGAGGGAGGAGATGGACCTGCTCTGCCCTGCACTGTCTCCAGTGCTGGGAGCAGTTTGGGGCACCTCAGCAGGAAAAGGACATCGGGCTCTGAGGGTGTGTCCAGGGGAGGGCAACCAAAAGGGCACCAAGGGCAGAACTTGTGAGGAACATCTGGGTGACTTGGATGGTTGAGGAGGAGACCTCGTGGCACAGCTGCTGATCCCCTCTCTGGTGGCCAGGACAGCACAGGAGGAGGAAAGGCAGTGGAGCAGCATCAGGGGAAGCTGAGAGTGGATATTATGGAAAGGCTCTTCCCTGAGAGGGATCCCTGATCCCTGAAATAGGCTCCCCCAGCCCATTCCTAAAGGAACCTCTGGATGATCCTCTCTGTCTTAGGAGTTTGTGTTGGACACTCCTGGGAGGAGCAGAAAGTTGGACTCAGTTGTTATGGAGCCCTTCCAGCTCAAAATATTCTATAATTCTATTACTACCCTTGTCTGTGGAGGTCTGGAGATATTTGGGTGAGATTTTCATTGAAGAATTTCACAGAAATGTGTCAGAAATACGTTTCTGATGCAGGGTGCTGGTTCTGGGCAGAAAGGAAGCAATGACACCGAAGTAGCTGAATGCAGAGGTTGGGATGAGCCCACAGAGGGTGTCTGTAATCCCAAGTTTATCTGCAGTCAGGGAATTCCTGCTCACTTCTATCCTGTCCTGGCCTGGTGCTATCACCCTGGCTTTGCACAGAGCTCAAGTGAGATTTATCTGGGAACATTCCAGTGTTAAAGGACCCTGCATGTTTCCTGTGGGATGACTCCTGGCTTTCTGGCCAGTCCAAGTCAAAAGACACCTGAGTTTTTCTGTTCCCAGCTGGATGTGTGTCTCCTTTTGAATCACATCCATTCAAGCCAGTTAATTTATTTAACAGGGAAAAAATCCTGGGTTATTTGTCTCAGCTAATCTAAATTTGCTATTACAAGGACATCAGAGAAGGCAGAGAGGATTTTATCCAGGATCCATCCAGCTCAGCACCAGTAGAGAGCAACAAGAAATTCCGTGGGAAGAATATCAGAACAGAAAAACCAGGGGTTTATTGAGTGCAATTCTCCAGTTTCCTCTGACTTGTGCTCGTGGCCTCCCAGATAAAAGGTAGAACTTTCCAATTTTAATCCAATTGTTCTTTACCCCCTGACACTGCAGAGTTGTGGCATTTTCCTATCATTACCACTATCTTTAAAAAAATTGCTGGGGCACAGCACTACAAAGGCTTGTACAGATTTGCAAAGCAGTGTTGCTCAGAGCATCCCTTATCACCATGGGAACAGGCACAACCTGCTTTAACCAAAGGGATGAGAGAATGGTCTCACTTGGCCAGACTTGGCAGGTTGGATGAGGTGGATCCTCACCTGTTGGGTCCTTCTTGGTAGATGCAAAACTTCTGGGCAGCCATGAGCAGCAGAGGAAATTAATCTTTGTTATAAAGGAAAGAAGATTTACAAATTCTTGCCTGTGAAAGTTCATTTGAGCCCTTAAGGCAGCGAGGGCAGAGCAGCAAATCCACTCTTTGGGAAGCTGCACAGGAGATCCCCTATCTAAGTAATTTCTTCCCAGCCCTCCTCAACAATGTGAGAGCTCTGAAATGCAGGAAAATCCAAATTCCCACAGTTTTGGAGTAAGCAAGACAGTCCAGCAACCCCTGCTCATGACTGAGCAGACACACCCCTCACTGGGGTGGATGATACTGCAGAGGATATTGGTGGTGTGGTTTGTAGGATGTCATGAGGAGGGCCCAGTTCTCAGCCAGCTCTTGGGCTTTTACGTAAAAGGGCAGGGAGGCAGAAAACAAGTGAACCACAAAACCAGCAGCTCTAATTATTTCTTGCTAGATATTGCAAGTGATTGCCTTTGTCAGGAGAAATACAAAACATCCCAGCCCATTTTTGGTACTTATTGTTCTACTCCTCGGCTGAAAGGAAATGAACGTCCTGAGAGCTGAGAGCCCATCCATGGGGCTGCTGGAAATTCACCCTTGACTGAAGTTGTGAAAACTGAAACCTTTATCAAAGACAATAATGCCCAGTTTTTGAGATGTGTGGGCACCCAGCTTCCACTGAAATCCAGGGGGTGAAGAGTGTAGGTACCTTTAGAGGTTTTTTGGTTTATATGAAGTGTGTCCATTTCTTGTCGAAGCCATCAGGAATGTTTATATCTGTGGAGTTGATTCCCAGAACCTCAGCCAAGAGCTAAGAGACAAAATTAACCACAATGTCTGTTTTATTACCCTGAGGGATTCCTGCCATCATTGAGGGTCACTGACAGCAGGGATGCTGCTGAGCTTCTTACGGAATCAGGGAATCACAGAGGGGATTGGGGTGGAACAGACCTTAGAGATCATCCCATCTCCATGTGCAGGGACACCTTCCACTATCCCAGGTTGCTCAGAGCTCCATCCAGCCTGGAATGAGATGATTTCCAAGATCCCCGGTCTTCAGTGAGAGCCCCCTGTGGCTGCAGCTGACTGCACACACATGAACATGTGAGCACATGTGGAGGGCATTTGATGTGGAAATGCAAAATCAGTAAATTGAGGTGTCTGCAAAACACCCTGAGAGGATGAATCACCTCGTCTTTGTGTTTCCTCCGATGAATCACTGCGGGGTCGTGTTCGTACTCCACATCTCAGCCCTGGGCTGAGGCTGGAAAAGTTGTTTGGGTTTATTTTTTTTTTTTTAAGTGAATTTATTAGAATCTCTGTCCATTCCCGTGGTCCTGAGCAAAGCTGATCCCTGGCTGAAGGCAATGATGCTCCAGTATCTCATTCCCAGCACTGCTGTGAGGATACCTTTGGCTGTCAGCACAAAACACTCCTTTGAGGGAGATGCTGCCTATCTCCCATCTCTCATCCCAGCCTCTTGGAGGGTTTCCAAGAATAGCAATGTTCTTTACTCATTTTGTTTCTCAGATAAGATCACTGGATAAAAACAGACATCAGGCAGGAGGAAAATGAGGGGGAAAGGGAAAGGTTAAAGCTGCCACTGAGCAGTATTATCTCCTTGGGATGCTGCAGAGAGTTTATTCGTGCTGTGCTGCTGCCTCCCTTGCTCAAAAGAATTATATCACTCAGTCTTGTAAGAATATGGAAAATCAGGTGTATTAAATTAGCTGAAAATTGGTTATGTGGAAAAAGAAACACCTCTTGATGCTGCAGTGGATGTGCATCATCCACCTCCTTTGGAGCTCAGGTAGAAAGCAGAGGTATTAGGAGAGGTAATAAAGTGCAATAATAAAAAAATACAAATGGAACAGTTATAAAAGTGCAATAACTTCCACAAATTTGTCAGAGTTTGCTCAGTGGGAATTATTGTCAGCCCAAACACCCTGGAGTCTTTCCCATGTGGCATCCCCCAAACTGGGGGAGCTGGAAAACCTGTGGTGCCTTTCAGCAGCACCTGAGAGAGTCAATCCAAGTGGAAAACTCATTTCTGGGTATTAAACCCCTCTGTGTTCTGCTTAATGACCAGAAGAAAATAATGCATGAATTGCAAAGCTGGAAGAAATGGAATAATTAATATAGTTTAAATAAAAAAAAACCCAAAATGCAGAGTTATTCAAAATGAGATTTTCAGGCACATCTAGAGATTTCAAATCACTGAAATTCCAGTTATTCTGTTGTGGAACAGCAGCAGAACATTAATTTCTCATAAGGATCTCATAATTTCTTGAAAACCAGGCTATTTCTGTGTGATTTCAGCAGCATAATAAAAAAATGGAGCCATACAGAAGTCTATTCAGAGTCTTGTGCTTACTCTGGGATCTGATTAATTAAAAAAAAAAAAAAAAAGGAAAAAAGAAGAGGATTGTATCAATTTCAAGTTCATTAAAAGAGAGAAAAAGGACATTTACACTTGCTGGTGTGAGTGTGGCTCTTAAAGTCTCTGGGTCCACCTGAAAATCTTGAACTGAGCAAATCCATGAGGTGGATTTGGGTGAGGAGGAGGAAGTGCCAATGCCTGGATTTGGGCAGCGGGAGGAAACAACCACCAAAGCCCAGGGATGTGAAGGGAAAAGCCCCATTTTTGGCTGTGCTGGGTCCTGGGGGAGCCCTGCAGAGACCACTGCAGGTGTGAGGGGCAGGGCACTGCCCAGTGGCACACACACCCAAAACTGGCACCGAGAGCAGCACCAACCACAAAAGCATCACCGGAAAGGATCTTCCCTACAAAATCTGCAGAATAACAGAATTTAAGCCAGAAAGGGTTTTTTTAGGTGATGTAACTTGACAGGCTATTCAGGAAAGGGCACATAGTTTTATCCCAAACCCTGGGAAATGAGGATCCTGCTGAGCCAGGCAAGGAAGGATCAGGTGGGGGCTGAGGTGGGGCAGGACCTGCACGTGGCCCTGTCACCCACCTGAGGGACAGTGGGAGCCTTGTGGGCAGCCAGGGGTGGGGATGAGCAGGGTTTTGGAAGTGATGACGCTGGGAAGGGCAGCTTGGGTGTCTTTGAGACACAGATCTGAGGGTCTGGGTTAGGACAGGCAGGGCTCTGGAATGGTTCAGCTGCAATAATCAGTATTTTCCCCAGTGTGAGTATGAAATATTAATCACTGGCCATGGAAAGAGGAGAAACTATGAACTAAAGATTGGTCAGTCTGATTTAGGGAAGAGGGTGATATTTGTGCTCCCTGTGCATGAATGCTGAAAGCTTTTGATAGA